CATGTTTTATCATGCCTAATTTATAAATTAAACTTTATTATAGGCATGCATATATAGGAAATAACAGTATATGTAAGATTCAATACTATCTGCAGTTTCAGGCACCCACGAGACACCTTGGAACGTGCCCCCGTGGGTAAGAGGGGGCTGCTGTACTTGCACAGGACACCTGTGTATGACCTTACACAGGTGACTTATGATCTGTGACCGGGGATGTCCCGCAGGGAGGCCTTCCTTCGTGCGGTCCCCACTGCCTAGCACAGCAAGCGTCAACACTGAGCATTTGAGGACTTTATAAATCAATGAACACATTCGGAGTCTGAACCTCTTGAGCCCCAATAATGAGGATCTGGGGTGCACCACTACACTGACCTGCCTAATACAGAACAGGCCAGCTCCAATGCAGCCGTGAGAGCTTCAGAGCATTACCACTCCGAAGGCTCTCAGGCGGGACTAAAAGGAGAACGAGAAAAACCCTGAGTGGGAAGGGAAGGAAGCAATGGGGGGCAGCTCAGTGGGAAGAGTGGAGAATAAAAAAAGGCAAATTACTTGCTAAAACAACACTGATGGAGTACTTCCTATATGCCAGACATGCTAACTCGCTCAATCCTCTCAATGCTCTTCTTGTTGCCTTTCTAGATGGGAAGCCTTAGAACCAGAGAAGTTAAGCAACTTGCCTAGAGTCACACAGGTAGTAACTGGCAGAGTCGAATTCCGAATTTGGACAGTCTGACTACAAAGCCCAAGACCCCAGACTGCACTTACCAAAGTGTATCCCATAGAATATACTCCTTTCTCTGGGTACCCAATACATGAGGAGTCGAAAAATAAAAAAAATTTAAAAAACACGTGGTCAAAGGCAAATTTGGAAAATGGTAACTTGAATGGGTCTTACTAAAAGACCTCTTAGAGCTTCTGAATTGCTAATGAGCATCATGAAACTCCGAGGGATGAACAGAGTAGGGGTACATCCCAAAGTTACTTGATGAGAGGCTTTTTCTCCGGCAAGCATCTTGCTGGACCACATGCCACTTTCAGAAGCATACACCTTGGGTCTGCTCCACACCCGCTTCCACTCCTCCCGCCCCCAAAGGGCAGGAAACCACTCGCCTTGGCCCGCTGCCCTCTCAAACCGAGCACCTGCCCAACTCTCCGCAGGCACCTGTCTTTGAGGATTTCACAAAGGAAGATTTTCAACTCCTGTCTGTCCCTTCTGAGAGATTTGGCATTAAATCACTATAATCAAAAAGGATATCCTACTCTACCCAAATCTCAGGAAGAATTCTTCTTAGAAAAGCCTGAGGTTGACGGCTACCATACGCCACTGACAGAAGCATTAATGATTCACTTCAAGATAACAACCAAAAGACATCTTCCCTCTCGGGGAGGGAGCCTGGCAGGTGAGGCGCCTTCCCGCTGACTGCCTTGGAGTCAATCACATGGTGAGTGCTCCTCCACGGAGCCCTGTTGGCCAAAGTCAGCAAATACCCTTAAGCAGAGATAGCAATTACAGGTAACTATTTCTTTTTTATTAAGTTTATTGGGGCGACATTGATTAATACGATTACAGGGGTTTCAAGTGCACAATTCTATGACATATCATCTGTACACTGTCTTGTGTACAGTATACAGCCCAAAGTCAAATCTTCTTGAACACGATGAGTGTCCTAACTACTCACACTAACACCTAAGACAATCAGGAGCCACCTGGGCATTTCAGAGGCCAACCTGAAAACCGAGCAGTAAATCTGAGCACCTTGAAATAAGCCAAACTCCAAGCTAATTAATGATGCGGTAGAGGAGTTACCTAAGAGTCCTGCAGGAGGAACATCGTTTAGCAGGCATGTCTTGGATTCCCAGTCACAGCTGTGGAGTCACCAGACTAAGTCCTCTAAAATATTGCCCTCACCAGTCAATTCCTCTGCTCACAAACATTCTGTGGCTCCCTAGTGCTGATAAAACAAAGTTCAGACTTCACAGCTTGGCCTATTCTTCACAACTTGCCTCAACTCCACCTTCCGGCTGCACTCCACCAGAATTCCCCACATAGTCTTCCTGCCTCTTCTCCCCTTTCACGCCCAGCCCACTCCGCATCCACCTCCATCACCAGCCCCTTCCGCCTCCATCCCCACCCATAAATGTCATCTGGAACTCTGGTGTCCACCCTGCTTTCCACCCTGAAAGTTTCGCCAACCACAAAAACACCTGAACCATGTTCGACTCTTTCTCAGCTTAGGAGGGGAAACGACCTCTCTGCAGCCAACAACTTCCACTGGAGTTCAGCAATTCTCCTCTTTTCTGGAAGATGAGATGCTCTATGTCTTCTGTGCCTGTGGCTTATATTTCAGCAAGTGGTGTCAGCGCTGATATAGTAACCTCCCGTTTTTATTGAGCAGCACACAGAGTAATTGATGACATCTGCTGGGGCTGATATTTTAAGTGAAGGCTCTTCTCAAACTGGCCTCCTCTCCCGTGGCTCTGTATATAAATAGCCAACAGCAGCCACACCTGAGGTATGAGATGGGGCTTCTCGGCTGAAGTCCTCAATTATACCCCATAAAATCATGAGGTTTCCTGGGAGGATTTATACTGGGCTGGCAAAAAAAAAATCGTTTAGTTTTTTTTCCGTACAATGGCTCTTAGTTGCCTTTAACTTCATTCCAAACAATTTTGTTAGATTGTGTTGTGACAGCTGTCATATCAGTGTGCATTAAGAAAATTTATCAGAATTGGTGAATTTTTGTGCAGCCATTTTAATATTGAGGATAGAAGAAGACACGCAACATTTTAGCATATTATTCTTTATTATTTCAAGAAAGGTAAAAGCGCAACTGAAACGCAAGAAAAGATTTGTGCAGTATGTGGAGAAGGTGTGGGGATTGATCAAATGTGTCAAAAGTAGTTTGCGAAGTTTCTTGGTACTACTGACATTTTGACCAAATAACCCTTTGCTGTGGGGCTGTTGTACTGGAAGATGTTCAGCAGCATCCCAGCCTCTATCCACCAGAAGCCAGTAGAGGGAAATAGCTGACAAACTCAGAATGTCCATATCAATAAAGTTATTGGTAAAAATAAAAATGTGTCTTTTATTTTACGGAAAAAAAAACACATGGGCTTTTTGGCCAGCCCAATACAAGCAGATCTGGCTTTCAAATCTGCAAAGCCAGAAAAAGAGGGAGTGGGGGCAGGGCTCTGCTGGGAAGAGTTGCCAGCATTGTCTGGTCTCTTTGGTGAAACAAATTTGAATACCCTGTTCTTTTGGGGTGCTCAGCTTCTGTGTTAACCCTCACATCAAGGGAAGCTGTCACGTAGGTCCTCAAGGGGCAACGATGCCCATCCTCGGGTGTTACCTTTCCAAGGAGTGTCAGAAACGGCAAACACGGGCTCCGGGGTGAAGTTCTCGTGTCTGTTTGCAAACCCAGGGGAGTGTTCGCCTGGCAGTGTTCAGGCAATGCGCATCCCCGCAGGACAGGAGCCTGTTCCAGGTCCGCCGCTGCCGCCGCTGCCGAGGCACCTCTGCGAGCACGGCCCTGGCAGGACATTCACGGAGGGGCGTGTGTTCGGACCCAGATAATGCCCTGCTCTGCATCTGAGTGTTCTTCCACAGTGCAGGTACATCCTTTCAGAGGAAGTTTCTAGAAATGTTGGCCGTTTTTTATGGAAAATTTCTAAACTAAATTACAAATACCTTCATATGCTCTGATTGGAGGTTGCTAAGATATGTAGAAGCCCAGACAGACCCTCCAAAGAAAGTCTTCCTCGGTGTGTGCTCCCTGCACACACACCCACAATGCACACACGCCAAGTGCCCAGCTACAGACTCACTGCTTCCGCACGCCGACCTGTGTCCTGGCCACTAACAACAGACCTGCAGCTGCTACCAACGGAGTTGTCTCCCCACCCCGAGCTCCTCCAGGGTGGGCACCCGGCTTGTGTGCTTTGTCCCCAGAACCTGGCCTGGTGCTGACACGCACAGCAATAGTTAACCCATGTTTGAGAATGAGCACGTGCATGTGTGTATGAATGAATGGAACGTCGCCCTACTGGAGGGCATGAAACCTGTGGGAACCTCGATACCGATCTTGCTTATAAGAAAACCAGAGTCCAGAGAGAGAGTGTGACCCATCCAAATGGCAACGATAAGGCAGAAGGGAGCACCTTCTACCATGTTACAGGTCGACACCTTGATTCCTTTGTGCCGAGCTGACCATCACGATCCCATCAGATACTTAAGCTATACAACCAAAATGCATCCTCAGAAGCATGGACCTTTGAGACTTGGTAGTTATATTTGTCCTCAAGTGTCAACGTTAATTGCATATACATACTTAAAATACAACCTGCCGTCACTGTCAGCACACAGGGTCTGTGCTGGCGACAGACACCCCCTGCACAACTGACAGGTATGTGATTCACAGCAGGTGAGTCACAGGAGGGCCCGGTGGTGACTTACAGTGGTCCAGAGGAGCGGGCTTCATGCCGGGAGCAGACCAGCCTTCTGAGCACCGGGCTCAAACCCCAGCAGCCAGTGAGCCAACTCTGAAACACGCTTGTGTTTGGAAACCATGACGAACTCAGTTAACAAGTGAAAATACCAGGGCCGGTGGAAGCCCCTCAGGACCGACCTGTTTCTGAAAAGGAAGCTTCGGGTTACGGCTCACGGCCTGGGCAGCCGGCGCAGTCGCTCCCACGCACGAATGGCTGGGCTCAGCGCCAGTGCTCCAGATCAACTGATACCCACCTTACTTTTTTTTCCAAACAAAAGCAACCAATGATTATTGCAGTCAATTCAATTACAAATTCTTTCTTAATCTGTTTTAGGCAATCTCAAAAAAATAACCAATTTGATAAAAGTTTTGACCACCCCAGTCAATTCAGTTCCCAAAGTCAGGGAAATAAGACAGCTAGCTGACCCTTGCGAAACTCTAACTCAGCAAAGGAAGGGCAAATGAGACAGCGTTTCCCATGAAATATACAGCAAGAAATATGGCATCCTTTACCTTGGTCAAAGGGCTTGTTGGGATTCCAGTTTCTGAAATAATCATCCTATATAAGGAAAAGAAATAGAAAACAAAGGTCAGATTTCAGGAAGTTTCTCACGTAACTGCATAAAAAGCTGCCTTTCTCCCCACCTCCCAAAACACAAAGGAAAACAATAAGGCTTTGAAATGTTTCCCCACATAGACATTAACGTGCAATCAACAATATCAGTTTACTTTTCCAATGCTTGCCTTTCAGACTGTGTGGACTAAACTCTGGGAAGAGGGAGAGCATTTCAGCCTCACACGGAAGCAGCAATGCTCCCCTCGGTGTGAAAGACACACTGAGACACCTTCCCGAAGTGCAAGGTGAGTTTGCCATCAGTTACGCTGCTGCAGTGAGGCCTTGCTGCTCTCCCTGATGGTCACAGCTCTTTGTTTGTAACAGCTGATAATTCAATTGTCAACATTTCTTTTACATGGAGACATGTAGCCTGTGCTCAGTTCCCAGTTTTCCGGCACTCACAAAACCTAAAAACAGGGCCATGCAAATGCTAGAATTAACCACAGGCAAACATGTAGCTTCCCCCCATTTGTTCCCAGTGTGTAAAGATAAAAAAGCAAAGGCTGGCCAATCTGGCTGATTGATAACCGTGTCTCCCTTGATACAGCTGGAATCGTTTATGCTCCAAGGCTAGACACTTCATTACTTTAAAATTGCAAGGGCCTGGGTCACTCCCTTCTTCACAGTTACATTTAATCTCTTCCCCTCTTCCAATAACCCTTTCCTTCCACACCAGCGCTCTGTCTGCTCTCTCTGTCCAATCCCCCCGTGCTCACCCACCCCCACTGTGTCAGTAAAACTGCAGTTTATAAGGTGCAGAGGCTTCGCCCTTGCCCATCATCCTCACACCATTTTTAGGGCATGTGCCCCTTTTTCAGTTAATTTCCTCCTGGCTGTACCCAAAGTATTTGCCATATGTGCTTTTGGCAGGTATTCTGAACGCTGCAGTCAGCTTCAGAATGGCCAAAATAAGGCCTCAATTTCTCTCCCAGAGAAGTTAATTTACATCAAAGTGCACAATTAGTTTAAATTATTGCCCATGCTGTCTGCCGATGCAGTTTATCTCTGCCACAATCTCCTGTGAATGTTATCGGCCTCTGTGTTGTGCAATTACCTGGCTTTATTAAACCCTTGTTGAGTTCACCTAAGCCCTTAAATAGATTTTAGGAAACTGGGTTTAAAGTAAAATCAGAACATATTGCTTCATGGGCAGCCATTCCATTTTCCAGAGCATGAATAAACATGAGCAGGTTCCTCTGGATCTTGGGGAGTCGCCATTAAATTATTTTTAACTCCAAGGACCTGAGCCCCTTTGCTCTGTCTCTGATTTGATGGCATAACTGCCCGTCGTGCCCGTCTGGTCAGGATGCCTCTCCGGCTGCACCCTAAAGCACCACTGGGAAAGCTCAGCACAGGCCCACCACCACGTCTCTCTCCCTCTACGACTCTGAGTCCCTGGAGCTCTGTGGTTTGAAACCCAGCAGCCAGCGCTAAATGATTCCAAGTTAAGGGCTGGATGGTAGGCAGAAAATTTAGCACCCAATTTCTCAGTTTGATGGCCAGCGTGCTCTGAGCCATAGACACAAGCATGGTGCCAACACATTCCGCTGTTCACAAGGGCAAGAGAGGAGACAACCCGAGATGAACTCATCTTCACCTCTGAAGAAAAAAGTAGCAAAGTGTCCGTCTTTCCGACTGCGGTTCGTGGATGCCCTCCTCACATTCAGAGGAGGGCATCGTGTCCAATGGCAAGGGGGAGTCTTGGGAAATGCTTTCTACTTGAATGTGCTGTTCTAAGACAAGGAAGTCCTTGGGAACTCAGGATGGTGTCCAAAATGTCACATTCTCTCTGATGTCAAAGACAGGTTTGCAGAAGTCCCAAGAACTGAGTATTCCCTAATGACTTCAACATACTTTATAACTTGGATGGAATTGGAAGTGTGCTTCTGGACCCTGTCACTTTTTCTATAATTGCCCTTTTTACAGACTTCTTGGGGGACATCCTAGTTTTAAATGTAAAGCCTCTAAAAGCAGATATCTGCATTAGAATATTTGAAACCTATTGAAATGTAATAACACTGCCTAATTGCTGCCAAAATGTGAAAGTACACGTTGAGTGAAAGCTCATTATGCAAAATGGGTCCTTCAAACAGCCCCTTGCTCAGCAAGGCCAAGCAGGGAAAGAAAATGATTCCTTGTGTCTGATTGCTTTTGCTCGGCCTTAGGACAGTGGATTGCCAAGGCAAAGATCAATGAGCCAGGAGCTGATAAAACCTTCAGTGTAACTGTCTTGGCTACAGCTGAGAGAGAAACCCTCTGATCAGGGGCCATGGCCATGAACGCTCAGGAAGCACTCCAGGTTCCACAGCCCACTTAGGGAGATGGTCAGGGAGCACAGGAAAGGGGGACTTCTTCGAGGGCACTCCGCAAGCCCGAGATGCCCGGACACACGGGTCCCCTCCTACACTATGCCAGCCAGTGTGGCCAATCCAGGCAGGCCAGGGCTAAACCCATCAACTCACTCGACAGTGCAGGCATTTCCGGACATGCGGCACCCAAACCCACATGGAAACCCAGAGAGATACAAGAATCCCTCTTCTAGGGCTTCACCTCCTGAGACTGCTCATCCCCGAGCCCCACTTAACAATCGGGCGCTCAGAGGACACAAGGACAGCTGCCTGTGGCCCCGAACCAACACTCTGTCGCCAGCTCCAGTGCTGGTCACTCTTTCCAAGGCCTAGGACCGAGGGGCACCACCCCAGCCTTATTCTTATTTTCCATCAATTTAGATAGAAAATTTAGATTTTTATTTATTTAAATAAAAATACATGGTGTATATATTACATCATCCTAACAGTTCCCTCAGTTTCCTGACAGGGACGATCCCCATCCTGGGGAGCAGCAGCCTGTGGGCACCCCACCTCCACGCTGCACTGCATTAGAGTGTGCTCCTGGCTGCACCGGAGTTGCCCAGGTCCTGGGAAGGGGCAGGACTTCAGGAGCCCTCGCCTCCGATCTCCCTTCTCGCCCAACCACGCTGTGGCCTGTTAGGCTCAGACGGTGCTAAAAAAGCACGTTAGATGTGCCAGATCAAAGTCGCCAGGAGATGTGTATCTGCCTGAGCTGGCCTCTTAACTGGTCGTTTTATCATCTAGTGATGAAGCTTTTAAAAATGACTTGCGAGGCCCTTGGCAACAGTTAATTTTTAAAGCATAAACCTAAACAGAAAGATGCAGATCTAAATATAGTTGTTTATTAAATCCAATTACTCCTTGTTGTGCGTAACGCAGGCTGAGGAGGAAAGGGTGGCAGCGCTCTGCACACGCAGACGCCATGGGCCTCAGTGCACAGTGTGGCCACGTCAGGCCTCCCCGGGGCAGGGCAGAGAGCCATCTGAGGGAGAGCTGGCCCCGCCTCCCAGCCCCACTGCATAACTGGAAAGGACCCAGCTCTTTAGGAAATTACCCAGCTGGTAAAATCTGGAAGAACCTATAAATTTAAACAGTCTCAAATTTGAACATACTGCCTTATGTCTCAAATCATGAAATATCCCAGGGTAGCATGACGTCATGGTAAGAAGGCTTTTTGCCAGCACAAAGGTCACAGTGAGGAGTGACGAATCATCACACGTCCAGAATGAGGCAGAAGGAGTTGGTGCTGGTGGCAGAGAAGAAGGGCAGACTGGGGATGGTCACGGCCCCAGCGTGTTTGTGAACCTTCCACAGATGGTCAGCACAGATAAAACCGTCTGTCTCCATTCATCTCACTAAATAAACATCTCACTAACGTAGTGCTGGACCCAGTGAAATCACTGGTACCCAGAAACTCTGGGTTTTCCAGTATTTTAGAAATATTCATTTTGATAAGCATTCATGGAAAAGAAATCTGTTTAAAATATGTACACATGTAACACATTGCATATTATTATGTATTATTCCACATAAGAATATATTTAATAAGACTATATAAGGTAATATATTGATAATATGAATATATTTATCAATACACACTTTAACAAATATATGTACCTATGTACTCACATATGCCAAAGAACATTCTGCTCTGTAAGGCATCCTGCAATAAAACCTTCAATCCTCCCTAACACGAAATGAGGCCAGAACACCCCCACTGCACTTGGAGTGGTCACGTGCCTTCATCTCAGACGCCGCAACCCTCTGGGAAGTGCGTGGTTCAGGCCCATTGTGGATGGGAACCTGAATTTTTCTTCCACCGCCCCACAGTCCCAAAATGGCTGATGCAGTTTAGTTCCAATATTCCCAGGGGGTTGCCCTTCAGGAGGTGCTTCTTGCAGCTCCTAAGGTGGTCCAGCAGACTCTGAGGAAGTGGCAGGGCGGCAGAACACCACTTGTGGCTTCTGAAGGTGATGTGATGTATCATCTACCTTATGGCTTCAGATACTACAAATCAAAGACACTTAGCTAACATGAAACAGATTGTTTCTCCCTCATAAATATTTTAGCTAAGTTTTTGAACCCTGCAGTTTCACCTGAAGATCACCTGACATGACAGAAAACACCAGCCCAGGAAACAAATGGGAGCCGCGTCTGCCTCGACCAGGAGTGAGTAACACACACAGAGGAAGGCAGCCCTGGCCGAGTTGTGCAAGATGCACGCCAGCTGCTCCAGCTTTAACGTCTCTGTGTCCCCAGTGTGTGTGTAAACAACACAGGTGGGTGTATGTTTATACACTCAAAACCACTTCCTTCCTCGATAGAGTGATTCTTTGATAAATTGGTCTGACATTTGGTATAAAGTCCTGCAGGCCTCAGACAAACTGATTCGGAAAATAACAATGTCAGTTGCTCTGCTCTTTCAATAAATAACCCACTAGTAAAACACAGATAATAAGTGGCAATCATACTTGTACTGTAACTAATGAGAAAAGATAAAGCAGCAAATGGACTGCTTATGTGCATTTGATAAATTGCATCCCCTGGATACACCAATGAAAAATAAATATGTGTGGTGCTGGTTCACTGAACTAAAGCAAGTATTTACCACTGAGATTTGGGATTTAGAACGAAATTTACATTTTATTTGGCAACTATTTTGATGCTATGTCTACATACAGTTGAAAAGTCAAGAACCTACCTCAACTTCCTGAGTACGAAAGCATTATAAATGAGAAGAAAATAAAAGAATCACATCAAACAATAGGAATGAATGTAAACATTTTTGATAACTGCATCACATTTTCATATTATCATAACATTAGAAAGTCACTGACCGTCATTCCCTGGGAAAGGTCCATCGTTCACCAAGGTTGGGGGAAGAAGGTTAGGTCACAGGGTGGGGTACAGGAAGTGGGGAGAGGTCTGAGCGTGCCCCAGTGACCCAGGCTGTTACTGTGAAACAGCCACCAAAACTGTGATTAAATTCAACACTCAGTCGTGATCACTATCTATGGGAGTTTCAAATGAACAATTTCCTGTGACACAGGGTGACATTCAATGAAAACTCAGAAATGACATCGGAGACCAAGTGGAACAGACCTACATTTCTGCAAAGAAATTATTTTGCCTTGCAGCTCCAAAATAGCTTGGAGGGTCTAAAACCTCAGAAAGATGGGGACTTATAGTCTCAGAAATACGCAAGGAGATTGTCACGGTGCCTCCAGCCAGTTAAAAGCCTGTGATCACACGAAGAGCTCAGGAGCTCCCCTTCCTGGGGACTATCTGTCCGTCCCCGTCTGTCCATCTATGAAGGGGGTGGGGGATGACCCACTGACTTGTTTCTTCTCAGAGAAAAACTGAGTCTGAGATTTCTTCCCCAAAGCATGCTCTGCCTGGGGCTCCTTCTCCTGGGAATATGAATGGGTGTGAGATGCTCCACTTGTCCACTGACCAAGACAAGGGGTGGCACCCCAGACTAAAAGCTCCCCACACCCTTGACCTCATCAGCAAAGTTACTGAAATGCCTGAGCCAATCAGGGGCAGCCTTCTGAACACCCAGGAAGGAGCTAAGCTACCAGTACTGTGGAATCGAAAGCACAGGAGCAGACAGGGGTTCAAATGTAGCCTCTGGCACACACAGGCTGTGTGGCCTTACCCCATCCACTTAAGCTTCTCTGAGTCACAGCCGCCTTCTCCATGAAACCAGACCACAGCGATGTGACAATGAGGCAAAGTGCCTGGCACATGACCAGACACATGGAATGACTCAGTGAATACCAGACGCGCACTTGGGAGTCCATCTCCAGAGGTTTATGGCACTGAGATGTCCCAGGAACACTGAAATAATGCATTTCAAACTTCAATAATGTGACAACTTCTGTATTTGAACCCTATCAAGTAGGCCCCAAGCAAAGGGAGACTAATTGCACCTGGGAAAAAATAATTGTGAAATGTTTTAAAATACATGTAACTTATTAGTCTCACATGGGAAGACTGGCTTAGAAAACAAATCAATGAAATTTGAAAACCTGAGTGGCAGGAAGGCCCCTGTTTTAAGGTCAGGCTCCCACTCTGTAAGACCTAGTGACCCTGTCTAATAAAAAAAGACATTTACACCACAGAGCTATTTTGCACATTCAGGCCCAGTGAGGCGTTTTGAACCACTGTGAGGTACTACATGTCGTATCACACACACACCGTGATGACTGGCGGGATCGCGGTCAGGGGCCTGGGCCTGCTCCGAACAGGCAGCATTCCTGCATAATCATTCATTGACACACGGAAAACAGATGGAGGAACCTAAAAGGCTCCCTCTCATCAACACACCAAACAAGACCCTTGCCATCTTGTAAACCTTTACTTCACAGAAAATACAAATTATTCTGGCCCGAGGCCCAGCCTTATCCCAGAATCATAAATTCCAAATTAATTGCTCTGCCATCTTTCTGAGAATGCCACCCCTGCCACCTCCTAGGCTGGCAGGCTTCCCAAACACCCAGGTGCTGGCTTCTAGAGTATAAAACACCAGCTATTAGTGATCCTCTCACCTCTTCCTCCCTGCTCATCCTGCACAGGAGGTGCTAGCGGCAGGGACCGGGGAGCAGCGGTCCTCAGCCTTGACTGACCACTAGGGTCACTGTGGAGCTTTCCAAACAGTAAGGACCCCCAGGAGATGCTGATTCAGTGGCCTGGGCAGTGGCCCCCATGATGGGGGATTTTAAAGCTCCCCAGATGGTTCTAATGCGCAGCCGCACTGCCTATAGGAACCACACAGTAACTCCATCACTGTTACTGAGCAGTGACCAGGGGACAGTCAGACCCACCATGAACAGCAAACCAGGTGCAGCTCCTCAGAGAACTTGTCCCCGAGCTTCCAGAGTTTCCTGGCCTGTCTTCATCTTCTGCTCTCAGATCTACCCCTCGAGGCGTCCCCAGCTGTCCACCCGGTTGCCCAGAAGAACCAGGTCTCAGGCTGGACTCCTCCCTCTCCCTCCCCTCGGCCACTCAGACCCTGACCAAGTCCTCTCCCTCCCCCTCCTGGATCTCTCACACCTCCCATGTGTTTAGTGCCACACAGCTGTCCCTCAGCTCAGGACACCTTCCCCTTGGGTCACCACCACCTGCCCCAACCAGCCTCTGCCCCTCTCCAGCCCTGCCCAGGCTGTTGTCCACACTGCTCCTGCAGTGACACTCTGGTCACATCACATCATCCTTTCTCCCTCCACCTAAAATACTCAGGTTGTCCCCCGAAGCTCCTAGGCCAAGGCCAAGCCCAGCAGCAGCTCACAGAACCCTGCGGGGTAGGGTCTCTGCTGGGCCTTCCTGTCTCCCTGAGTCCACCCGCCAGCCCACGGGCCTCATGCCAGCTGCAAACACACGGTTCTTGGCCCTGCAGGTGCCCGGCTCTCCCGGCCCCCTGCAACTGCAAGTGCTGCTGCTGTTGCTTGCCTGAGTCACCCTCCTCACCCCTCTTGGGTAAACAACTACTGCTCTGCCAAATCCCAGTTTAAACAACACTTCTCATAGGCAGCCCTGCCTGTCCCCAATCCCTGCACACCTGTCTACAGCGCCCCCCGCCCCCGCGTGAGGCCCCCAGCAGAGCACCAAGCTGCCCGCACTTCCAGGGTGGCCACTCCTCAAACTGGACCATGCAGGAGGCCGGGGCAGCATCTTCACCCGCAAACCTCCAGGGCCCAGCACAGAGCCCGTTCCACAGCAGGTGCTCTGGGCATCTAGCACTGAAGGGGCGCAGGAAACAGTGCGGCCTCTGCTGCTCTTTTATGCCAGAATCTTGGGCTGCGACTCCCCTCCTTCTCCCCTCTGACTCAAAACCGTAGTTCTCTGAGACCTGTAGGTCTCTGAGGAAACTGAAATAGGCAACTCCCTTCAAATAGCCTCAGACAGGAGTCACCAGAACCTGGCACCATCAGGGATGACGCTGGAAGGCTTTGAGAAAGGGACCAGGCTGTGCGGGAGGAGGACAGGTGGGCCTCTGCCCCGCACCCTCGCCCCATACCTGATGCGGCCCTCTAAGGCACTCTGAGGAATGGGCAGACTTTATGACCCAGCTCAGAGCTGAGCTGAAATCTGATGCAAGATCCAGGCCTTGCATCAAGTTGAAGTTGAAATTAAATCAAATTATTAAAGTAATAGCAACATTAATATTAATCGTGTGGTAATAATAGCAGCTACCATTTTGGAATGCTCAAAATGCACCAGCCACTGTGCTAAGCCCTGACTGTGTGTTCTTTCCGAGAACCTCACCATTCCCTTCGGAGACGGGCGCCCCCAGCGCCCCCAGGGAATGGCTACAGAGACTGAAGCTGACAGAGGAGAAACCACTGCTGTGTGGCAGGGGCAGGTTTGGGCTCAGCTGTGCCCGACCCCGAGATCACGCTCTAACCACCGCATGACAGCGCCCCATATGGAGGCAGGGGCGGTGAGGCATGTGATCACTGGGGCCCCTGGGGAGAGGACGTGGGGCTGGCCGCCCTGTGCTGACGCTGGCAGGAGAGGCTGAGGGACAGGAGATGGACGCACAGGCCAGAGGCCTCCCAAGAGGCCCTCTCCAGCACAGCTGGGGCGTAGTGCGTCTCGCCTCAGCACTCCTGCCTGTGCGATGGGAGAGCAACATCTGCCTCACACAGTCTCTGTGAGATGAAGCGCCGGACCATCTGCCATGCGCCAGGCTCTGGGAAAGCAGGCAGGACAGCCCAACTTTCTGATACACGGGGACCCCAGATGGCTACCTGGGCTTCAGAACCATGGCCCTCAGCCCTCTGGCAGTGGCCGCGGGAGCCCCTGCCTCTGTGTGCTCAGACTGAGAGCTCACCCTGTCCGCCAGCAGCACTCCCCGGGGCCCAGTTCAAAGCGGAACACCCGACTCCCACATCAAGGCACAGCATGGAGGAAGAGGTGGCTTTGGCACCAGCCATCGCTCTGGGGACCTACAGCCACAGGCTTTGCATGAAATTTTCATTAGCTGCACAGCCAGGCTCGCTACAGTTCCTCCCAGCTCTGTCATTCAGCCCCTTCTCTTCGAGGGAACATCTGGGAAGGGTAGCAATAAAGACTCGCTTCACTATGTCCCCCAAAGTGTCCTAGCAGCCACCGTGCCTGCCCGACTCTGCATCCTAGGGCTCTGGCCCTAGGACTGTTTATACAGCAGATGCTCCTCACCCAGGCCCCAGAGATAAATCCGGTCAAGGCCTTTTGTCCACAACAAGCCAATGGTGTCACAGTCGGGATGGAGCGTGCTCGTTTGAAATTTGCCATTTCTGCAGTGACATTTCCCCTGTGGTTAAAGAGGTGACCAGTGCAGAACACTCCCCAGCCACCATTTACCTCTACCATCACCAGAAGCTTCCAGGGAGAAGAGAGGATGTTCCCTCTCTGAGGTGGGGCCACAACTAAAACCAGAGCTCGTCGTGAGAGAGGAACACGCCGCTGAGGCCAACGAACACCCTCCACGGACACCCGTCTCCCCGGGGCTGATGGGTCCAGTGAACTCTGGACCGTGGAGATGAGCACCTACCTTCCCTCTCGCTCCACAAGCATCTCTGAAATTCAGAGATTGAGTAACACCGTCTCTCACTCCCTGCACCACCAAGAAGATGTGTGGAGGACTCAGGACACTGGAGAGACGACCACAAAGCATGTCACCAGGCTCCACGTTGGGAATGTGCTCACCTGGCCCGTTGGTCCAGG